AACATCTATAAATAGAGTTGTAATGTAATGAAGAAAGAGGTTTTGAAATTTGGAATGAATTCTGCAGATGATAAATTTTGAAATACGAAGAGTTCCAACACGACTCTGGTCTTGCTAGACTGAAGGAAATAACACTGTGAGGCGTGACATAAGACATCGCTTACTGATTAATAATTTGTAAGTAATTGAAGTGCCATCCTTAGGTTTATCATTTCTATATTCTTGTTTAGGAATGTGTAACTTAAAATCTTTTTGTATTATGCTTATTTTTCTCATTATGAGCTAAACTTTCTTTGTATTGGATAATGTGAAGTTTAATGAGTTGGTAATTTTTTCAATGTTATGAATGAGTTATCTTGATATATTTTACTCATATGAATTTATGTCATATGTTTATTCCTTTCTCTGGCTACCTTGGGAGCAAATACAAGCTGGTTAACGATTGAGAGATCTATTAACTAGTGAAACTCATAAGTAAATATGGTTGGAAATAATAGGATAGTCATATTCGTTAGATTAGTCACTTTAGAGATAAAGGACTATAACCACAAGTGAAACTAGACATGATTTAATACTATTGTGAGACCTCGAGAGTTATTCTCTTAACTTAATGCATAAGCTTTGATGTTGTAGACATACACCACTAGATCACATTTTGCCTCATATGTCACAATAAAGCATATCAAACTTATACATTATATGAATTCATTAAATGGAACATTATCCAACATATTCTTTAACTTTGTGTTAACCCTTAACTATCTTCTCTTTTCTTAACCACGTGACACACACCATTATTTTATTACTTTTGCTCATGTTTACTTTACAACTTTTGGTATGAAAATCATTATGCTTAATACAATCTTTGTGGGGTCGATACTATTTGTTATGACTTGCTACTAATTTGACCGTGTATACTTGCATGTACACAGATTAGGCATAAAATATCCTTAAAGAAACCCCTTTAAGATCAAGTCACCAATTGGCGAAGAAGTTTGTTTCTTCTAGAGAGAAGGGAAGATGGCCATAAGAAAATAGTGAATCTTCTTCACGTTTAACCGATGAACCCTTTCCATTTTGGATGTATCAAAGTTATTATGGACTATCCACGAATCCACATAGTTGTAACCAAGAGGAATATGTAGGTAGATGCAAATGGGTTGACAAGACATTTAGAATTATAATATTATATCAAAATCTTATTATTTCTACTCTTGAGGAGATGAACTGCAAAGCAAGTCCCAACTTGTTAGAATCTGATACCAATTATGGGTAACAAACATCCAAGATATGCCTCATTCTTTTAATAGAACCAAAATCTAATCGACTAAAGTGTATATTAGGAATGATAACCAAATCATAATAGAGGAGACATAATCATCACCACCGAAAAATAAGTTATAACTCCATATTTCTTGTACTTTCTTAGGAATCAAGTTGAGATCATTTTCTTTGCTAAAATAACTCTGAAAAATATAGGTGATACCATAGCAAGATAAACTAAATAGGTTTACTTATATTCTTTATTTATGAATCCCTTTTTAGCAAAGCCAAGAAGGTGTGCAATACAATATTTAAGTAGGATATAAGAAAAGATTAATAGTTTATGTTTAAGTTAAATTGCAACAAGGAAAGATATAAACTTAAATTGTGAGCGACTATTGCATAATAAATAAAAATGAAATACTTTTCTAAACTAGAAGAGAAGTAATGAAGTGTGCGCAAAATCTATAATAATATATATGGCTCCAATTTTATGTTTCAAGAAAGTAGCATAACTAAGCACATCCTTTGGTAATAGGAAATTCAAAGGAGGAATATAAGTATTATTGGATGCAAGAGCCTCAACATCGCATATGAGAAAACCAAAGATGAAAACCACATAAAGGAGAGTGGGGGTCATCATAACCTAGAGAAAATGAAGGAATTTGAACTTACAAACCAATGCGCCAGGAGATTGGGAAAATGTTCAATGTTCATCTCGTAAATGTCCCACCTCTTCCATATGCGTCCTTTGGCAACTTCAACCATGCAAAGCAAAGTCAGATATTCATGTAGAAGGATGTGTTCTAAACTAACTCGACTTTTTTTCAGTAGTAAACCAAGTGCAATATAGAGGAAGTTACGAGTTACCAAGTTCAAAAAAAAAAAGCTTTTGATGCCACATTATCAGTACAAAGACGAAGAGTAATATTGCATTACATACTGAAAAATGTCCTAGAAAGATTGTGATTTTGAAAATAATTACCAATGTTTCATAGAAAGAAAAACAGAAAGCGATTGACTCAAAGAATATAAGATAAAAAGAAAGACAAGATGTTCATATTGAAAATATTTTAGAAGAGAAGATGATTAGGAAGGAGGGTCACCAATTAAATATAAAGGTTGATTCTTTTGTTGAAGTGCTCAATTCAACAAAAATTAAAGAGATCCTTGAGGATTTACAGGTAGAGAGAAACTTTATAACACCTAATTGTAGATTTTACAACATAATGATGACAATGTTCATACATAAGATATTATTAGTTACACTGCGTCATCCTAGTTAATCAACGATAAAATACACGAGAAAATTTATTCTGGTCGCAAAAACTCAGACTTATTCAAAAGCACAATGATATTACATATCTAATTTGAAGATAAGTATTATATGTCAATATTTTTTTTATAAATACCAACTGAAATATCATATATTGATGAAACAATCAACTTTAACTATGATGATTGATAAACATATATTATACACTCGTTAACCATTTTCTCAAATATAAAAGAGAATCATTAACTCAAAGTTACAATAATTAATTTTGGAGATAAAAGAAGCATATAGGACAAATGGTTATAACCCTACACATTTCTTTACCCCTATCATTGCGCTTGTCCCCGTTATTATAAAAGTTAAAACATACTGACATGAACTTTTCGAGGTAATCGGTACATCAAATATGTTTCATAATAAAATCCATGTTCCCACATGCAGGTCCATATTATAAGCCACCTGTACAAACAAATTTATGCAACTTCATATTCTCATTTATCATTTCACAGTATGAAAAGAACATTTCCGCATGCATTATTTGAGATGCAAAAGTAAAAGTTCTCAAGGTGATGTGTATTTCTGGACTTACAAGTCTTGCTCTAATTTGATACAGCTATAGTTTTTTATTTTTTATTTTTTTATAAATAAAGATAAATGGGAGCTATCAGTAACAGAGGTCAACTAATACTATTAGTAAAGAATAAAGATTATCACGGAGAAAGAGAAAAGTTGTCAAAGATAAAATAAAAGCCAAGAAAATCACATGATTCTCAATAGTCCAAGATAAGGGTCATACGTGTGTATTTGATCTCTTTTATTGTTAATTCTTAGCTACGTAGCTAAGCTACTTGCTAAATCAAATATTTCAAAATTAATATTCCCTACTTTCCACAATAATCCATTTATTTACAACAAAAATATTCTAAAATAAATTGCATTTTTAAGTCATTGTTTAATTTCTGCATCATTTGTAAATTAATATATTCTATTTCACATTTAAAATAATAATAAATACATTATTTAATAATGATAATTTGATAAAATATTAATTTCTGTTTTATGTAAATAATAGTTAAATTATAAGTCAATTAATGAAAATGAATTTAGTTAGAAATATAAATATACAAGTGGTTTAATGTCCGACAATTGTCTTCTACATATAGAATATTTTATGATATATATTTGAATATAGTACCATTTGTGAGAATATTTGATGTGCCTATGGTATTTCAAGCTTTAATTATTTTCCTTACATTCCAAAACCAGCTAGCTACATCCATTGCTCAAACGCAAATGAAAAGAAACCTTATAACCAATTAGGGTTTTTTTCTTCTTTCTTTTGTTTCTTCCATCATCAATAGATACATTTGGATCAACTAATATGAGTTAGGTTTACCTTCTTTTGCTTCAAGTCAATTGTAAAGTTGATTCTCCAAAGAAATAATTGGCTTTATTGGATCTTGGAAACAAGGGTTGGCTAATAGGATCTCTTTTCAATATTCATATGAGGTTTGAGGGAGCTATCTTGGAAGAGAGTTGTTAAGCTTCATCCTTAGCAATGGTTTGTACATCTCTCTCTCTCTCTCTCTCTCTCTCTCTCTCTCTCTCTCTCTCTCTCTCTCTCTCTCTCTCTCTCTCTCTCTCTCTCTCTCTCTCTCTCTCTCTCATCAAGATGTTTTTGGAAAGAAATTTTTTGCATTTGATTTTAAGTTTTAATTTTACTATTTTTGGATCTAGTCTTCTTGATCAATTTAGAAATTTATTAAAACATCAATTGCTTTATAGAATGTTTTTACAAGCATACTTCAATCTCTATACAAATCACAACTTCAAATCAACTTTTAGAATTTTATCTAATATGGATGTGAGAGTTAGACCATTGTTTTCCATCTTCTATAGTATCCCCCAACTCACACCCTTAATTTTCACTATGAAAAAAGATTAACAATTTTTTATTTTATTTTATTTTATAAAAATATAACAAAAAGGATATCTTTCATTAACCTTCATGGAAAGAAATGAAATTTTTTATATAGATCACACATAACTCACTTAATTTTATTGAGAAAAAAAAGTAGATTGATATATAATTTTTGTTCATACTTTTGTTAGAAAGAGAGTATTCTTTAGGTGTAGTACACTCTTCAATTTAACAATTTTCAAATTGTAGGTAGATAGCTATGTGAGTGTGGAATTCCAAGACCTAGGAATAAGCACACATGTAGTTTAATAAATTTTTGGTACAAATGTAGTTTAACAAAACATGAATCCTTCTAAAACATAACCTCGTGTGACTACTAAAAAATTCAGTTGTTTTTGCGCATTTATTATTACAACATATCTTGGTTCCATATATGGCAATAATTATATTGAACAAGTGCAAACTTCTATATTTGATGCAATTTTTAGGTCTACTAGAAAACCACAAAGTAATTTGATACAAGAAGAAAATAGAGCACAAATGGCAGAGAGAATTCACATACCTAATGAAGACATCAATAATGAAGATAGTAACGATATCGGAACAAAACCCTCTTCGCCAAATCGAAGAAAACGTTCGTTCTTTGACTTAAACGAAGAAGCGGTAGACGATGGAGATGATGATCATGTGACATTACTTGTTAGTGATGAAGACCCTAATAGTGACGAGATAAGCAACACTGGGAGATCATCGCAAGAGGAGATTTTAAGTAGCAATGATCATAATTCAAGCGATCAAGAAGGGAAAGCGCGCGGAAGTACGGTAAGACAATATGTTAGGTCGAAAATGCCTAGGCTTCGATGGACTCCCGATCTTCATTTATCTTTTGTGCATGCTGTTGAGAGGCTTGGAGGCCAAGAAAGTAAGTCTCACTCACTTTACTCTTGATTATATACATAAATTTACATAATGTTAAGGGTTCGATTCTATTGTTACGAGAACGAAAAAAATTGTTCGCGGCAAAATCAAACCCTTAATCTTCTTCAACATTGCAACTTATATTTGAGTTTCATCTACTTACTATTTTTAAATCCTTACCTCAACTATTTTTTTCTGTTGTGATTCTTTGATTTTATGAATTGAAGTACCGTTTTATATAGTATAGATGTGTATCATTCTTTGATGCATAAGAAAAACTATTTATTTTGAGCATTTTCATAAACTTTTTATTGACAATATTTGGTATAGGAGCAACACCCAAGTTGGTTCTCCAATTGATGAATGTGAGAGGACTTAGCATTGCACATGTGAAGAGTCATTTGCAGGTAATATATATTCATGTATAAAAATTAATTTATGTACAAATACTTAAAAGTTGAAATTACTTTTTATCTTTGATTATTTATTCATTTTAATTAGTTTTTGTGTGTGTTGATTTTCAGATGTATAGGAGTAAAAAACTTGATGAGTCTGGCCAAGGTAATTAAATAAATATTTCAGAGCCTTAATTTTGTTAGCAAGTTCATGACTATTTAATGTTTCCAAGGGTTTTACATAAATGCATGATTATATTTTCATTTTATTTTATTTCAGTTTTATCCCAGAAAAATAGAGAAATGCAAGGAAAGCATCATCATATTTTGGATATGTATGGAAGGTTTAATGTTCAAGGACACTTTGGTGTTAATAATAACAACTATTTTCACACATATAATGAAATCAAAGCTCACAGCACTTCAAGGTAGTATAAATATAACATTAATTTTATGTTCATAAAATATTACAGTAAAATTAATTTTTATTATTCTTATAAATATACATATATATTTTTTTAATTTTTTGTACATTTAAAATTTATTTAAAAATAATATAAAAATTACTTTGGTGTTAAAATAATTAGATAATTTTTTAATTTTTTTCTACATTTTAAATTTTATATAAAAATTACAATAAATTTTTTTTTTTCATTTTTTATAATTACATAATTTAATGCTTTCATAATTTGTAGGTTTCATCAGAGTGGGTTTTTCAATAATCAAGTGATCTTAAGATCAAATTCAGTGTGGGACAAAGATTTATATAAGAGAAGTTCACATATATTTGATCTAAAAGATGCAATAACAAGAAATAATAATGGACCTATAAATTCTACTCAAATAAATCAATTACTAGCTGAAGGAAACAACTGGCCTCCTCGATTACAAGGAAGTGAAAATCATGAATTTAAAAGCTTGTTTCGAGATGATCATAGTACACACCATTTTTCATGGAGTCCTATCTTCACTAAGGTAATAAAATTAGATTAATTTTTTTTTGCATGCTTTTATATAAAATAGTTTATACACTTTTAGACAAATGAACTTAGCTTGCATCATATTTATTGTTTCACTAATAAGTTATTTTTAAGATCTTCTAGCTTCTAATGTTCAATCCCTTATAAAGGAATTATTATTATTTTTATTATTATTAAAACAGATTTTCTTTTAATAGTTTTAAAAAAATGTTTTTTTTTTTAATTAGGTACATGATAAAAAGGATGAAATACTAGAATTCAAACACCAAACTCGAGTATCAAAGAAAGAGTACTCACCAAATTTCTTAGAACTAAAGCTAAGTCGAGATTCAGAAATTAGTGTTAAGAATCAGACAAATATGAATCAAGCAGACAAAGAAGAAACACATGTAGTCCTCTCTCTTTAGTTGTTCCCTTCCTCTTCCTCAAATTCAAAGTGATGAAAATCACAAAGAAAATATCTAGGTTGAGAGTTTGAATGTGTTTGTGAAATTGTAAACCAACAAGTCATTTGGGCTGAGTACTTAAGATCTGACCATGCCAAATAGGGCATTGGAGTGAGATCTTTTAAGTACTTGCTTTATCAGACCACATTTATGCATGCAAGAACCTTTTGTGAAATTTTGAATAAATTAATTTAGCTATTGTTATTTCAATTTGGATTATGTTTTAATTATGGATTAGAAACAATGCCACAATTAATTCGTATGGTGGATCATTGACTCAATATGTAGTAGCTTTGAGACCCTTAAAAGGTCTATTTAAATCCTCCTTTCAAATTATATTATGTGGTATCTTTTTAAATAATTGTATTTTTTAAAATAATTACAAACATGTCAATGATTGCAAATATGTCAGTTGAAAGCTCCTCAAGCACTATTATGATCATGCTCCAACACTTCAAGCAAATATAAATTTCAACATCAACAAAGTTTATCAAAATGATATCCTTACTCTATATTTCATGCATCCAAGTGAAAATACAACTCTTGTATTAGTAACTCCATTGTTGAATATTAGAAATTATCATTCATGACTAAGATCAATGACAATGGCGTTGCGTTGCAAGCACAAACTACACTTCATCGATGGTGCTTTGCAAAAACCACTTGATAAATATTGTGACTCTATTGTTTGGGATTAATGCAACACAATGATCATGTCATAGATGAACAATTTGGCTGATCCTGAAATTTCTCAGAGTATTCCGTGGATGCAAACTACTTCAAGCATATGGAAAGAGCTAACACTACATAAAAAAGTATTTTTAGCTAGAAGTTAAACCCCTCACTATTGCAAAAATCCCTTCACAAAACAAAAATTTATGAGGGGAGAAGTTCCTAGCAAAACAGGGAGCCTTAAATATTTAGCAAGAGACTTTTCACGTAGCTAATTAGCTTGGTGCTAACCCCTAGCAAATTATCATGCATAAATTTTAACCTGCTGTCAGGGAAATGTAGGAGCAGTCTAGTGACATAGTCGTGTCAGTATTTTTCTAGGAGATAAGCCCTTAGCAAATACATCTATGTTTTGACATTTATGAGGGGATAAACCCTCAGCCAGTGTGTCTTTTATTTGCTTGGAGATAAACACCAAGAAAAATCATATATGTTTTGCATTTGTGAGAGGATTGTCCCCTAGCTAATATTTATAATAATAATAAAATATTAATATAATACCATTAAATATAATAAAATACCATTAATATAATCATAAATGAATAATAGTAAATACATGTGGATGTTCATTTAACCAATTTTCTATATTCCATAATTTCAATGAGTTAACTTTTTAACCTTTGTGTATTCCTTAAGTTAATGGTTATTCATTGATCATGTATTATAAATAAGATCCACATTACAATGTAAAGTGTACTTTTACCAAAGATGATATAAGATTACTTTCTCTCTACTCTTTCTCTCTTTGATCTCTATATTATTTTATTTAGTTTTATAACAATAATACCATTATATACCATTAGTATCATTATATATAATATCATTAATATAAAATATCATTAGTACCATTATATATAAAATATCATTAATACCATTATATACAATACTATTAATATAATTAGAATTATAATAAAATGTCATTAACTATACACTTACAAATATCTATTATATCTAAATTTTTTAAAAAGAAAGATAATAACATATATTACTTATATAATAGATAATAGTATATTTAAGTATTATTTCAAAAATAATATATAAAAGCAGTTTGTTATATAATACATAAAAAATAATATCATTTTTAAAATAATATTAACATAATACAAAATATATAATATATTACTAATTAATAGGTAACATTAAATAATATTTAATAAATAAAAGCAGTATGTTATATACAAATAGTAGGTTATAAAAGCATTATAAACAAATATATAAAAATAGTATGATATATAATATTAAATAATATTAAACAAATATATAAAAAGCAATATGTTAAACAATACATAAATAATATGTTATTTTTAAAATAATATTACCATAATATATAATATATAATATATTATATATTATTTCTATCAACTATTAACAAATATTAACAAATATCAACTAATATCCAACAAATATCAACAAATAACAACAAATATTCAGATTTAAAAAAAAAAACAGAGAAGAAATAGGTGCCTTGGATGAAAAATTAAACAACTCAAAACTTTTAATTTTACTTTCCTAGCAAAAGTTTAAACCTTTATCGAATAAAATGGAATATAAACAAAATAAATTAAAATTAGAGATTTCATCCATTCCGAAAATCAGAAGAAATAAAAAAGAAAACAAATAAAAAAGTTATAAAATTATCTTTCAAAAGACATGTTTGTTGAAGATTTTTTGATGAAAAATCTGAGTTTGGTGGTGAAAGAGTGATGTTGATGGAGTGAATTCAGGGGAAACTGAAAAATCAGAGAAAGAGAAAGAGATGGTCTGAAGTAGTAAATGTGAAAATGGAAGGTGCAATGCAAATATATGAAAACATTTTGCAAGGGGGGTCCCCACGCCAATTTAACAGTCATAATTAGCTAGGGGCAGCCCATTGCAAATTTCAATGACTTTATTCAAGTGGCTGACACACGTTCAGGTGATGAGACAGTGTGCATAAAATATATGGCTAGGGGGTGCCCCTTTCAATCATAACCGAAATATATGGCTAAGGGGTGCCCCTCACAAATGTTATCACCTTTCTTAAAGTGTCTGACATGAGGAAGGTGTGACGGGATAAATGGAAACTGGTTTTAAAATCTGCGTGGGATTTCCCCTGACAAAATTTACGGAATCTATTAGCTAAGGGTGTCCCCTCGCAAATGGTCAATTTCAAAATTGAAAATCTCCCTCCTTAGCATTTGCGAGGGGTTTCCCCACACCATTTTCTTTATTAATTTTCTTTTTAATTTTATGCATTGTGAGGGGATAAATCCCAAGCAATGTAGAAATTTAGTGAGAGTTTTTCACCTAGAAAATGCCCCTGGCTAATCAACAAAACTTCTTGTAGTGTAAAAGATTGATTTTACCATGGTGATGTGTTCAGAATCTCGTATGTTTAAGAAGAAATCTGTAGGCTAAAGCAAGGTGATTATACTATCTCTTCCTACTATACAAAGTTAAATATGTTGTGGCAAAAATTGGATACTTTTTGTCCCATTCCCGCATGTGATATATCTTGTCTAGCCATTGACAAGATTTGTAGCTACAAGGATTATGATCAATTTATCAGATTCTTGAAAGGTTTTAATGAGAAATATTCACCTGTTAGATCTCAGATCATGTTAATGGATCCCCTTCCAAACATTATCAAAGTTCACTTTTTACTTGTCCAACAAGAAAGAGAAATCATCATTCCCATTGATGAATCTAAGCTTCTCACATTTTCTACTGGTAAATTTCAAGGTAGATGTTACTCTTTGCGTGGCCTACATGGTAGATGTGGTAGATCTTCCAATGGACGAGGCAGAGGAAATCGAGTTTGCACACATTGTGGCATGACTGATCATACCATTGACACTTGTTTTAAGAAACATGAATATCCTCCTCATTGGAAACAACAAATATTAATCAACACTGTATCTCATTATGATGAAGTTCATCATGATAATTCTGATGAATATTTTCATCATCAAGATTCCAGTTCCTTAAGCTTTACTTCAGACCAACATAAAGCCTTATTGGCTCTTTTTCAACAATCTTCAAATTTCACCAATCATAGTGTCAACCATCTCAGCACTCAATCAAAATATAATACATGTATCATTTGCAATGCTCCTATTAATGTCACACATGAATCCTTCATACTTGATACATGAGCTACTGATCATGTATGCTTCTCTCGAAAGTTTTTCTCTTGTTTAAAATCCCTCCTATAACAATTAAGCTTCCTAATATATCCATTGTCACCACTGATTATGCAGGGACTATATTCTTTGATAACACCTTCATTCTTACCAATGTGTTATACATACCATAGTTTTCTTTCAATCTTATTTTGTACCTAAACTAACTCATTGTTTAGATTGTCATCTCTTTTTTTAACAATTTTACTTGCCTAATACAAAACTCTTACTCAATGAAGATGATTGGTGCAGCTAATTTGAGAGGTGGACTGTATATTCTCAATCATCCTCAAGTAACAATATCCAATACACTTTCATGCAATCATGATTCATGCACCAAAACTTAACTTTTGAAGCATTCTACCTATGTCAATTTTGTTAATAACAATCATTGTAATATTTGGCATTTAAGATTTGACCACCCTTCATATGAAAAATTTATTGAAATAAACAAATATTTTCCTTTTGTTCAAACTATTTAGCCAGATTTACCTTGTGATGTTTGTTTCTTCTCCAAACAAAAAAGACTCCCTTTCCTTAACAAATCTTATAAATCTATGAAGAATTTTGACTTAATCCATATGGATATTGGGGAACCATTGTCCACCCCTTCCATCAATGGACATATATATTTTCTTATAGTTGTAGATGACAAAAGCAGATCTACAGGAATTTTTCTCATGAAATGTAAATCAGAAACTCAACATCTTATTAAAGCTTTTGCCTATATATTTCTTCCTCAATTCAATGATAAAATCAAATGTCTAATGCAATGATCTAATCCTTAAAGAATTCTATAGAGAAACGAGTATAGTGCATCAAACCTCATGTGTTGGAACTCCTAAACAAAATGGTATAGTTGAGAGAAAAGATCAACACATACTTGGAGTTACTATAGCTCTCCTATTTTAAGCTCAACTTCCTAAGATTTTCTGGTCATTTGATGTCTGTCATGCCATTCATATCATTAATAGATTACCAACTCTTTTCTTGTCAAACAAGTCACCATTTCAAATTCTACATAACTGCTTACCTGATATTAGTCTACATAGAGTGTTTGGATCTCTA